GTTTATGGATTTATTTATCCTTTTTTTTTTTATGTTTCTTTACTTTTAATGTTTACCTCTGTCGTTTCATTTTTCCAAATTTCTTTTGGTTTATTATTTTTCTAATTCCTTTAAGATATGAAGTAAGTTCCTTGGCTAGTCATTAAGCTTTTATCTCGCACATCTAAATCTTCCCTTTAAACTCAACTTTGTGATGCTAACAATCAAATGGAACACATGAACTCTAACTGGATCCTGGATCAGATCAATCAGTTAATTACTTTAAATAAATATACTATAAAAGATTATTTTAGTAATTGGGGACATTTTATATGGGTAATATATTAGATGACATGATTTGAATTACTGTTTATTTTCTTAAGAGTGATGACAGTATTGTGGCTGTGCAGGAGACTGTCCTTATTTTTAGGAAGTACATACTGAATTGTCTAAGCATGAAATGTTATGACATCTGTGACTTATTTTTTACATGGTTTATGGACTGAACTGTGTCTTCCCTCCTATCAAAATTCCTATGTTGAAGCCCTAACCAGTACCTCAGAATGTGAGTATTTTGGAGGTAGAGCCTTCAACCAGGTAAGTAAGCTAAAACGAGGCCATTCTGGTGGGCCCTAATCCAATCTGACTGGTGTCCTTATAAAATGAGAAGATTAGGACACAGGGAAAGACACCAGGGGTTCACACACACAGAACAACCATGTGAAGACCAGCAAGAGGGTGGCCATCTGGAAGCCAAAGAGAGAGGCTTCCGGGGACACCAACCCTCTGACACCCTGACCTTGGACTTCCAGCCTCCAGAGCTGTGAGAAATAAATTTCTGTTGTTAAGCCCCCTGTCTGCGGTTCTTTGCTATGGCAGCCCTGGCAAACTAACACAAACGGCTCTGGGGGAAAAAGGATAAATATGAGAGAGAGAGAGCTAAATGGCAAAACGTTAATGTTGCTGAATCTAGCTGGGGCTATACCGATGTTCATTCTATCACTTTCAACTTTTTTGTAAGTTTGAAGTCTTCCAAAATAAAAAGTTTGGGGGAAAAATTTCACCAGGAAATTTATACACATATAGGTTTGTATTAGTCTGCTCAGGCTGCCATAACAAAACACCACAAACTAGCTGGCTTAAACAACAGAAACGTGTTTCTCACAGTTCTGGAGGATGGAAGTCGAAGATCAAGGCATCTGCAGGTTTGGTTTCTTCTGAGGCCTCTCTCCTTGGCTTCCAGATGGCTGCTTTCTCTCTGTGTCCTCCACGGTCTTTTATAAGTGTGCCCATCCCTGGTGTCACTAAGTGTGTCCAAATTTCTTCTTCTTATAAGGACATCAGGCAGGTTGGATTAACTTAATCACTACTTTAAAGATTTTATCTCCAAATAAGGTTACATTCTGAGGTGCTAGGCGTTAGGGCTTCCACATATGAATTCTGGAGGGGCACAATTCAGCCCATAACAAGGTCTTTTTTTATTATTCTTGCCCTGATGGTCTTAAGACAAGTCTTTAAGTCAAAAAATTTAATTCTATCATTTCTTACTACTTTTCTAGCTATTTGTTTCTCTTTCTAGAATTTCCAGTATGTCCACGATAGGTCTCCTAAAACTGTCTTCCAGGGTCCCAAGAGTCATACATAAGGCTTTACATTTTTTGTGTGTGGCCTTTCTCTATTGCTCAGTATTTATTTATTCAACTTGATTTTTCAGGACAATGATTCAGTCCCCAGCACAACTACTGTCTTTATCAGTTTGTCTACTGAATTTAGGAATTTAGAATTTTTTTAATTCCTGAAATTAAATTTGTGCTCTAATTATATTTCCTTGTGAGTTTTCATTACTTTGCTGAAGTTTTCTTTCTATATTAACTCCACGCTCCGCAGAAGCTGCCTGTTACACTTATTCAGCCTAGTTTTCCTCTCTCAAGTTACTGAATTCCTTTATCATTCCTTGCCTACTCATAACTGACTGTTCCCTCAGCATCCAGATAGGTCAGACTACTGGCATCTATTAAAGGGTGAAATACCAGCAGGTAATAGAAAACACGGGAATTTTCAGCACCAAGCACCAAACATGTTAACAAATCTAACTCTCTGTTAAAGCACAGGAAGAAGGTTTCTACGAGGCTGCCCACCACTTCAGTTCCCCTCTACACAGATTAACAGGACTGATGTTCCTCTAAGCACAAAGCAAACAGGAAGATATCATACACTGTAATAGGATCCAAAGGATTCTGCCGGTTAAGCCCTCTTAAGCAGCCTCTTAAGGCTTTGAGAGAAGACAAATCACTACCTTTACCCCACGCCTCAAACTATGCTCAGTACACCACAGAGAATGAGGTTCCCTACCCACGTTCTCTCCCAGACATCTATAGGTAACTGAAAACCTCAGACCTCTTCCTTGGCTCCAACAGTTTGCCCACTTAGGTTACTATTGCTCCAAAGAGGAAGTACAGGGAAAAAGTCAAGAACCTGGGCTAAAGCAAACATCTTCCCACATTATCTCCCTTTCCCATCTTCATTGCTTCACAATGCAGTGCATCTCCCCCATTCATAACTAATATTATTATTAATAACTAGTAAAAAAAATAATACACTAGTCACATACTCATTTAATTTCAACAATCCTATGAAGCAAGGATTATCTCCATTTTACAAATGAATAAAGTGATGTTAGGAAAGGTAAAGTGTTTCAAAGCCAGGTCCATTTGCACAAAAGCCTAGTCTCTTCAAAACAAACACTGCCTCCTACTTTCATACTCATTTGTGTGACCTCAGGCACACAGATCTTTTTGGGCCTTATTGTTCCACCTGTAAAATGATGATGCTAATACCACGTACCTCACACGGTTGTTATACAAACCCAATGAGGGAAGGACAGCGTATAAGGGGATTAGAACAGTATCTGGCATACAATGTTCAGTAAGTGATGGTTTTCAGTATTATTATTGATTTGGCATCTGGTAGCTTAGAAACTTGGTTTTTTTTTTCAAAGCCCATACTCAAAGCTCAAGTAATTCAAAAGAATCTCAACAATCTGGCACTTACCAGGTCCACAAATGACTATTATGACAACTTTTGGTAATATTTGTGATTGTTGAACCTGCTCACTGCAGCATTAAAAAGTTAATGTGACTTATCTGGTAAGCACATTATAAAAGTGGGTTCTTCACAATAGTCACTTTGATTCTATTCACCATTTTTTTCATTAGAATAGTTCAGATGTCAAATAGTATAATTTGTTGTAATCTTTTAAGAGAATTAAATTTCTAATCTAATTGGCTATCCATTAAATGGCTTCCTGGGGCTGGCCCTGTGGCCTAGTGATTAAGTTCAGTGCGCTCTGCTTCAGTGGCCCAGGGTCCGGTTCCCGGGCACGGACCTACACCACTCGTCAGCAGCCACGCTGTGGCGGTGACCAACGTACAAAATAGAGGAAGACTGGCACAGATGTTAGCTCAGGGCGAATCTTCCTCAAGCAAAAAGAGGAAGACTGGCAACAGATGTTAGCTCAGAGTGAATCTTCCTCAGCCAAAAAAAAAGAAAAAAAAAGGCTTCTAACAGTAGAAAAGGTAGCACTAGTGTTCAGGTATGAAAAATTAAGCATTTAACCTTGATAACACCTCAAAAACTGGGAAAAATAAATAGATTTGAACAAAGGCAAAGGTAATTAAGCAAAAGTTCAATTCAGGATTCTCTATAAATAGCATCTAGAAGCAAAATGATTAAGTTAGATAATTTAAGAAATTTCAAAGTACTAAAAAGTGGCAAGCCTTGTAAATGCTTAAACCAGCTAAACTAGATTAGTATATTACATAAACAATTTAAAGCTAAGTATTTTGAAGAAAAGACAATAGTAAGACTTTTCAGAAATGTGAATATTTTCTACTCTGTGGTTAAGTATAAATGACCCTATGACACTCCGAGGCAAGATGGATGTGATGACCAAAAATCAACTGATTTTGAGGCAGCCAAGCATCATCACGAGTTTTTCAATGCTTCAGTACAAATAGAATATTTGATGCCCTCTACAGTTATGAAATGAAATTGTTCTTTTTTAGTGATACTTACCCAACAGCATTCTATTAGAAAAGAAAAAACACTCAAAATTTCAGGTTAAATATGTGCTACTTATTTTGCTACTGCCGCTGGTAATCTCTTCTCATTTGTGCTGTTGCCTGTAGCCAAACTTTGCAGAGAGAGTACCAAAAAAAATAACTGTCTTAGTCAAAAATCAACAGATGGTGAATTAGTGGATGAAAGTTTGATGAGCCATGGCAGAGAAGAACAATCTAGAAAAAAATTAGCATGTTGCTTCTTCATGAGTCAGCACCCCAAAACTTTAAGCATTTTTATCATCACAATAACCAAATTATATGTCCCTATATAAAATGAACCACCTTACTGTCTCATCTGTGAAATGAGGCTATTATCACCTAACGTTAATAGGTATGTAGAAAAACTCAGTGAGACCAAGTGTTCTAAGCTACTAACATAATGCCTGGCAGAGTAAGTACTTAATAAATAGTGGCTATCACCACCAGTATATTCAAATTCCAAATGAGAGATGTGATTCCGCTGCTAGTTGGCATCGCTGCTGTCCTATGCCTATGAGAAGAAGCTTAAGAAAATCATTTTAGGGCCGGCCCCGTGGCTTAGTGGTTAAGTGCGTGCGCTCCACTACTGGCGGTCCGGGTTCGGACCCCGGGCGCGCAGCGCACCAACGCACCGCTTCTCCAGCCATGCTGAGGCCGCGTCCCACGTACAGCAACTAGAAGGATGTGCAACTATGACATACAACTATCTACTGTGGCTTTGGGGAAAAAAAAAAAGAGGAGGAGAATTGGCAATAGATGTTAGCTCAGAGCCGGTTTTCTTCAGCAAAAAGAGGAGGATTAGCACAGATGTTAGCTCAGGGCTGATCTTCCTGAAAAACAATCACATTTTTTTAGGGCAAGAAATCACCAAAGGAATAACAAAGAAATTTTGAAGTGAAAATGAAAAGTTTTTCAACTTACTGACTGACTAAATCAGATCCCATCTTAGAGCCATCATCTGCCTCCTCTTCCATTTCAGAGTCCACAGCATTGTCACCTTATAAATGAAATAAACTATTGAAAGCATGCTTATAAAATGTCAGAACAATTTAATCATTACACAAAAAGTGTCACCTTTAAAAATGATGCAGATTAAAGAAATTTATAGTTGTTGAAAGATGACATTTTTAATTGCTTATATTTAAAATCAGTTTTTTCAATGCATTAGGTATTTCTCATTGCTTTCCCTTTATCTATTACATAAACATATATATACACACAGGAATGTGTATATATACTTACAGACTATACACATATGCATACATCTATTACCAGAGTTACAAATTCCATTAAACCATTTTGCATTTAAAAAAGACGTTCTCTCTGGAAATTGAAAGTCTTCATTTTTTTGTTCCTTCTCTTGTGATGCTAATGCTAAAATCTTTGTAAAGTTCCAAAAGAAAAAAAAAATGCTTGAAAATCCAAAATTCTACAGGTAACAGTATCACAAAGAGGAGTCATACTTCAGGCAGACATATAAATTTTGACAAATTGCAAGAAATTCTTCTAACTCTGCACCTGGATCTTACTAGAGCAGAAATAGTATGCAATAGGTAACTAAAAGCAATAAGAATATTAAGCAGGGCCCAGCCCCATGGCCTAGTTGTTAAAGTTCCACGCTCCACTTCAGTAGCCCTGGTACACGGGTTCGGATCCTGGGCACGGACCTACTCCACTCACCAGTCATGCTGTGGCAATGTCCCACACACAAAACAGAGGAAGACTGGCACAAGATGTTAGCTCAGGGCTAATCTTCCTCAAGCAAAAACAAAAAGGAGGAGGACTGGTAACAAATGTTAGCTCAGGGAAAATCTTCCTCAGCAAAAAAAAAAAAAAAGAATATAAAGCAGAAAATAAAAAATTATTTTAAAAGAAGTCTTTGCCTTATCAATAATTAATTTTTTACAGCATTTGGGTAAACACATTTCATTTCATTTTGTTACTGCATACAAACTTATGCTCTTACCTATATGCCTGATTTGGAAAAACTATACATGCATCAAAAAGTCTATTCTTGAAACACTATTCTGATATGCAAACTGTATTTCTCAGTACAAATATAAGTAAAAATGATTACTCAACAATGAAATTACAGTAATATTCAAGTAAGAAAAAGAATACCTCAGGATTTCTGCTGAATATAGTATTAACTAGTAAGTTACCAGAATGTAGAAATACGTATTCTTACCCTCAAGAATCTTCAAGATTTTTTTTTCAGACAGGAGCTCTAACTGTTCCTGGCATAGTTTTTTAATTTCTTCTATTGAACAGTTCTAAAGAAAATGACATTTAAAAAATGCATTTATGTAATACAGTGCCAACGTAAACTAGAAAATAGCAATCATAAAAAAACAGTCCAGTTAGCAAACTCTTACAATAAAACAAATTAAAAGCCACCTAAATGTTTTAATGGGATGAAATCCGAAAAACTGCCAGCTGACATGTGAACATTATAATTTATAGAGATCTGATGGGAATATATAAAGTTATGTTTATTATGAAAGAACAAACTAGAGAGTAAGTCAGGTGGCCTACATTCTTAACAACAGCCTAGTTATATGAGGTAATTCCTCAGAAGGTTTAAATATTCAAGTCCTTGCTCTATACATTTTAGATATACGATCTTGGGCTTAACTTGTCCAAGCCCTATTTCCACAATGAAAAATTAGAATACCATGTATTTCCCTGAATAATTTTCAGAAATAAATATATGAAAACATTTGTGAATTTAATGAAATATAACCTATTACCAACCATTGATGTGTATTGTTACACAGCAGTACATTATTTCTTAAAGCACCAGAAAGAATCATTATACCTCTAATTTAGATACTAACACTGCCTGCATTTAATAGAATTATTTCCAGAAGGTCAATAAATTCCTTAGCTAAACACAGTAAACTGCCCCACTTTTTCTTGGCAAATTTTTAAATATACGTGGCCATTTATGGTTTTCCAAAATCCCCTTTTTATATCTTTTTGAAGTAGCTGTTTTAGTTGAAAACATCCAATTATAATTTGCATTAAGTAAAATCATTGCTATAAAGGTTTCTATAAATTTCTATATATGTGTACAGTCTGATAGTTTATGTAACGAAGTACCTTTAGCACATCAGGAAGCATCTTCTGTAACTTCTTCTCTCCTATGATACAGAAACACTGCTGAAGCATTTCTTTTTTGTCTGATATATAGAAACTAACTGGTTTTAATGACACAGTCAGGTCCAGTCCACCTTCTTCAAGGTCACTGTGCTCTGCCAAGAATAATTCTTTTTCCAAAGTTGGCAAAAGATATTTGGTTTCCTAAAATTCAAAGAGATAAAGAACCATTAAATAATGCTACTTAAAATGTATGGAATATGTATATAATGTCATATATCTTCATTTAACAAATTCTTCTTCATTAAACATTTCCAAATTCTTTGCACAGATTATTTATCTAAAACCACAGGAAAGAATATTTAAGTGTTCAGTATTCTTTGAACTTACTCTCCACACTACAATTAACTCGATAAGATGATATAAAGTGAAAAGATAATATGTGATGACACACAAATGAAAATATACTCAATATTGAATGATTTCCTATAATTTTTGACTTCCAAAGAATTAGGATATTCCTCCAGCTGGCCATTCACCCAAAAGTTTTATGTATGCATTGCCATTCTTCTTAAATTCCTATAAAGAAATGGAATAGCAGCCAAAATGTTACAAATCCCAAATATGATACAGTAAAGTATTACTGCTTACCAGGAGCTATTATCATTTTTTTTAAACTGTTATACAATTTAATCATATTCAAAGTAGCCAAGTAATTTAAGACATTTTTCCCAATTTTACCACCTAGCTCCCAAATCTATCCAGTCTCTCCAACTGCCATAATCCTGGTCTGAGGTACCATCATCTTTTGCCCAGATTACCTCAATAGCCAGTTAACCGGACCTGCTGCATCTAATCTGAGGTCTCTCCAATCTGTTTTGTACACTGTCACTAGAATGGATTTTATAAAATGTACATAATACTCACCCTCCCTATTTAAAACCTTCCAATGACTTCCCACTGCTCTCAGAGTAATAGAGCCTACCTGGCCCTTCCTGCTCATTCTTTGTGTTCCAAACACAACCACCTTCTTTGAATTCCTCAAATATAACCTGTTCTCCCTTCACCTCCCACAGGCAAGGCTTTTGTACCTACTGTTCTTCTACGACTTCTACTACAACAGTCTTTCCTCCCCATTTCCCTACCACACTATACTCTCAAGATGAACAAATTCAGGTATCAATTCATAAGTCATTTCCTCAGGAAAACCTTCCCCAACTACAGTTCAGGTAGGATTCTTTGTTATGTTTTCTAATGGAATTGTTTAAAAGCAGTTTAAAAACAGGCCAATTTTAAAGGATACTATGATAATGAGACTGAAAAAGTAAAGAAGGTCAACTCTTGTTCTCATCTCTCACAAGGTAATTCAAGTGTTGGCGACAAGAAACTGGAACCCTCGTACACTGACAGCAGGAATCTAAAATGGTGCAGCTGCTTTGGAAAAAAGTTTGGCAGTTCCTCGAAAAGTTACCACAGGACCCAACGATTCCATTCCTAGACATATATCCAAGAGAAATGTAACCAGACGTTTGCACAAAAACTTTTACATAAATGTTCATAGCGGCATTATTCATAACAGCCAAAAGGTGGAAGCAATCCAAATGTCCATCAAGTGATAAATAGAAAAAACAAATATGTTATAGCCATACAATGAAATATTTATTATTCAGCCCTAAAAAGGACTGAAGTACTGATATGTGTTACAACATGGATGAACTTTGAAAAAACATTATGCTAAGTGAAAGAAGCCAGTCACAAAAGACCACATATTATATGATTCTATTCATATAAAATATGCAGAACAGGGAATCAATAAATCTATAGTGATAGGAAGTAGATTAGTGGTTGCCTAGGGAGGGAACAGGGTGCGAGTGACTATTAGAATGATAGCTAAAAGGTACACATAGGGTTTCTTTTTGGGGTGATGAAATATTTTAAAATTCACTACAGTGATGGTTGCACAACTCTGAATATACTCAAAACCACTGAACTGTATACTCGAAATGGGTGAATTATATAGTATGTGAATTATATCTCTATAAAGCTGTTATCAAAAAAATAAATAAATAGGGAACTCAATACACAACAACTATAATGGCATTCTCAGAATTCTGAGATGTTATCTACATGCCTAATATGTAATTTCTTTTTTTCTTCACAAATACACTTACTTTTCATTATAAATAGGGTTTAGTTCTATATGCAAATATTTACAATACCCAGCATTATTGGTCTCCTCATCATGATAAAGAATACTAAAGATTAAGGGAACTGTTTAAGATAAGAATGGTGATATCCAAAATTGATTCTAGAAGGGGTAGAAAAACTAAATAGATCTATAACTATCAAAGAATTTGAAAAAAGAAAAAAAAAAAAAAAGAAACTACCCCTAAAAAACCCACCAGACCCAGACAGCTATATGGTCCAATGGCCAAGTTCTGACAAATGTTTGAGCAAAAGATATAAACTATTCTGGAACACACCAAAACAATGCAAAGGTTCCCAACTCAACCCATGAGGTTAGCACAATCTTGATACCAAAACCAAAAAAGACTCTACAAAAATGAAAAACAGAGGCTGATTTAACTTAGGAACATAGACACAAAAGTAAAAATACTAAATTCCAGTTGAGTACAACAACCAAATCAACAAACCAAACAGGATCTATCCCAAGGCTGCAAGGACAATTCAATATCAGTTAATTTATCAATAAAATCACATCATCTGATTACAGAAAGAAAACTATGCGATCATCTCAACAGAATGACATAGAAGTATCTGATAAATCTCCACAACTCTCAGCAAACTAGGAATTGAAGAAAATTTCCATAACCTGATCAAAGGTATCTTTCAGAACCTATGACAAATATACTTACTGGTGGAACATCAGAAATGTTCCCACTAAAAAAAGGATGGGGTAAGAATGCCTACTATCACTGCTTCTGTTCAACATCACACAAAACGTCTTAGATAATGCAAAAAGAACAAAAAATAATAATACTGCTGAAAACGAAGAGACAAAACTCTCATGTTAGCAGAAATTTTTCTGAGTCAGTTTTAAACTAATAATTTATAATGTGGCTAGATACAAGAAAATACAGAAGAAAAATGGCCTTCTATGCTTCCACAACTCCCAATTTGAAGACGTAATGTTAAAAAATACAGAATAAATAGTTTTATAATCTTGGATTAGGAAAGATCTTGCTTTTTTGAGGAAGATCAGCCCTGAGCTAACATCCATGTTAATCCTCCTCTTTTTGCTGAGGAAGAACAGCCCTAAGCTAACATCTATTGCCAATCCTCCTCCTTTTTTTTCCCGTTTTCTTCTCAAAGCCCCAGTAGATAGTTGTATGTCATAGCTGCACATCCTTCTAGTTGCTGCATGTGGGACGCGGCCTCAGCATGGCCAGAGAAGCAGTGCGTCGGTGCGCGCCCGGGATCTGAACCCGGGCCGCCAGTAGCAGAGCCTGTGCACTTCACCGCTAAGCCATGGGGCCGGCCCCTGGAAAGACCTTTCTAAACAACACACAAAATCCAAAAGGCCTAGGTAAATAATACTAGTCTTGACCACAACTAAATCGAAAGCTTCAGTACATCCTGGCCAAAGTTATACTAACATTTGCAATATACCTTACGCAAAACATTAGAACCAACAATTTGGTATCTCACACTTTACGTAGTGAGATTCAGAATTTATCAGTAAAAAGTTGAAAACAACCAAACAGAAAAATGGGCAGATGATGGGTATATCCAGCTTACATAAGGAGTCAAATGGCAAATAAAAATATAAAGATGTTCAACCTATTAATCAGGAAAATATAAATTAAAACAAATGAAATATTAATTTCACCCATTAAGCTGATAAATTCTTAAAAAATAGATATAGGGGCCAGCCCAGTGGCATAGTGGTTAAGTTCATGTGCTCTGCTTCAGGTGGCCCTGGGTTTGCAGGTTCGGAGCTCTGGTGCCGACCTAGGCACTGCTTATCAAGCCTCGCTGTGGCAGGCGTCCTACATATAAAGTAGAGGAAGATGGGCACGGATTTTAGCCCAGGGCCAATCTTCCTCAGCAAAAAGAGGACTGGCAACAGATGTTAGCTCAGGGCTAATCTTCCTCACCAAAAAAAAAAAAAAAAAAGCATATAGTCAAGATTTGAAGAGATGGGTATTCTTATATACTGTTTGCACTATAACTCACTAAAGCCTTTTTTGGAAAGCATTTGGTGGTACTTACCAAATTTTTTTAAAGGCATAAACTTTGACTCAGCAATTCCTGTACAAGACATATGTACAAGGGTGTTCATTTTTGTATCATCCCTGTAATAGCAAGAAAACTGGAAACCTAAACATTCATCAATAAAGATACAATGGGATATCGAGCAGCCACTAAAAAATAAGGTACCGCATGTAGTAAGACCTCCATCCCAACAATGCAGTGGTATTATCCAATTCAACGGCGGGAATATCACAATAAAGCTTACGTGCAGGAACTTAAATACACATATCTGACAAGAGATAACGAAAAGGCTGCATATCAAACTATCAAAGAGGGGGCTTAAAGAGACTTCCACGCTTTTCCCTTTCTGTGTTGTATGAATTTTAAGTACGTATTCATGCATTTGTTTATAACATGTTTCAAGCAAACTATTTTTTTAAAAGCCGGTATCCTGGCAGGTCGATGGAGCATAAAGAACACGGCTTTCGTAGTCAGTTATTAACAAACTGTGACTGTGGGTAAACTTCCTTAACCTCTGTGAGCCTCAAATTTCTCATCATGTAAAGTGGAGTTAATCACAATCGACTAAAAGGTGAAGACGCAGAGAGAAGTAAAGCGTGACTCGCAAGGGCATTCAAGGCTGGCTCCCGACCCATACTTTTCAGGGAGACTGAGGACAGCAGCAGAAAGGGCCAAAAAGCAAATGAGTTAGCTGATCAGCAAACCCAGAATCTTGAAGTTCAAGACATAGGAGTGTGGGGTTTACCCGGACTTAGGGACATGAATGTCAAGCACGGGCAGAACCTTGGGCTCGCAGCTCTAAGAGGGAGGTTAGAGCAGACACCCCATCCCGCCGCCACATCTCGTCGCCGCCCGCCTTCTTCCGCAGCAGCTCGGAGGAGCGGGGAGAAGGGCGCGCACGCACCTGCGGCAGGGAGCCCGCGACGCTGGAAGCCGAGTCGGTGCTCCTGCGCTTCCGCCGCTCGCTGCGCTCCACGCTACTCCCGCCCCAGCCGTTGCCACCGCTCCCCCCGCCAGGGACACCTCCCCCGAGGCTAGTGTTCCCGCAGCCGCTGGCGCTCCCGCTGCCGCTGCCGGCGAGGGCAGGCACCAGGTCCGGCGCCGCCAGCGCCGCGGCCGCCTCCTGACCGCTGCGTTTGCGCCGCTTCTCCCGGGAAGACTTCTTCCCCGTCATGATCCCCCTGCTGCAATCATCCGGGGACAGCCTGCTGAGGCTGCAGCCACCCACACCTCGCTCCGGCGGCGGCGGGCGCTGGCGCCGCAGTTTTGCGTCACTTCCGGACTCGGCGCCGACGCCCGGAGGTGTTTCTGGGGGCGGGGCCGGGACCCATCGCGCCTCCTCGAAAGCCGTGCAGGTGGCCGTGAGTGTGCTGAGGGGGCTGACTGGTTATCTAGTGGGGTTCTGGTTGTTTCTTGTTATACCTCTGCAAAGGAGGGGAGGTGGAGCTTTGCAACAGCTCTTTGTCTTATTGATACTGCTTTTCAAATTTTGTCTTTGTCCACATACAGATACATAGTAAGGTAAAGGTGTACTTTTTGATTCTCCATTTTCATTTGTGTTCCAATTTTTATGCCACTAACAACGTTATAACAATGAAGAGAATTTAGGGGAAATCTCGTTATCATCATCACCTCGGCAAATTTCTTTTTAAATGTATTTTAGAGAATTGTACAGGCATAAAGTCTTGTGTTTGCTTGTTTTTCCCCATTAATCCTAATTTCTAGACAAGTTTCCTTTTAGCTTCTGAAGTCACTTGGCCCTAGTATTTCATTATAGTCCTTCTCAGTTTAACTAATATTCAAATGCTGACGTTTAGGTTGTTGACAGTCTGTCACAGTTCAGAATAATGCAGCTGTAAACTGCTTAAGAAAAAAATTTACATTATTTCCCTTTTAGTATTTTTTACCCAAAAAAGAAATTGGTCAAAGGATATCAGCATCTTATTTTCCTTGTTCTATTTAATCGGATTCCTTTGAAGGAAGAATCAGCCAACTTAAAATGTCAGCCATACACTGAAATCTTTGAAAAAATTTGTTCTAATATACTATAATATTAGGGTTTTAACTTGCATTCTTGATTTACAATGTTGCATACATTCCCACTGGTTGGAATAGGATTTCCTCATCTTCAGGTGGGCTGGTAATAAGTTTAACCGTTTATCTGCTGAAATCAGTGTGTTGACCTTACAATGTACAATAATTATTTATGTTGGTGAGATGGGAGAGAGGAGCAGGGTTAAAATGTTGCTGGCACATCAGTGTTCCTACCTTTTCTCTCTCCCTTCCTTCCTCAAAAACTGCCTTTTCAGACTAGTTCTTGGTTTTTTGAAAGAGGGGGAAACAAGAATTTAGGAGTGATGGGACTGATAAGGAAATCCCAGGTCATTTTTAGAAAGAGTTTGAGGCAAGAAATGCAAAAGAAAAGCAGCAGTGTGTGAGGGCAGCAATGGAAGAGAATAGAATTTCGGGAGTATTTCTGGAGATTATATATTTCCTGCATAGAGTGCATGAGGGACAAGTAAAGGACTTGAATTTTTGAAAATGGACTATGGGTCATAGCTTTATGAGTGTTAAATTTTGTGGGCTACTGTGTAGGATTTTGGATCTAAACACAAGCCAGGTTTTAAACCAAGGATTTACATTAAAAATTACATTAAAAATGTGTCGCCATCAGGCAGGGGTGGTCTCAGCAGGGGCTTTTAGCCACAGAAGGAAAAAAGTAGGGTCTGGGGCAACATTAGCTGAGTGATAGTAATCCTGAATCTTTCATTGGGGTGACAGAAAGCCAGTAAAAAAGGAAGCCTCCCTTTGACCACATTCCCTACCTGTCTCAGTCATTCAATAACTGTTTAATAAGTGCCTGAGACAAACCAGATGCAGGGGGAACTTCAGCCCTGGGAAAACAGCTGGCTGCACCCCAGGCCCTACCCTTAGCTTTGCCTCCTAGGGTAAATGCTGAGGCTGAGCACATCATGCTCTCAGGAGTTCCGTATTGGCCTTATTAAATGTCTTACCCGAAAGGAATGAGAGTGGTGTGTTCATACATCAATACATCAAATTTATACATCAAATTTATAACATGTAGTGTTTATAACCTTGCTATGGACTGTGTCCCTTCAAAATCTATATGTTGAAGCCCTACCCCCAATGTAACTGGATTTAGAGATAGGGCCTTTAAGGAGGTAATAAAGGTTAAATGAGGTCATGAGGGTCAAGGCCCTCATTGGAAAAAAACTGGTGTCCTTATAAGAAGAGGGAAGAGACACTAGAGATCGCTCTGTGAGCCCACGGAGGACAGGCCCTGTGAGGACAGTGTGAGAAGGCAGCCAGCCATCTACAAACCAGGAAGAGAGATCTCACCAGAAACCAACCCTGATAGCACCTAATCCTCAACTTCTAGCCTCCAGAACTGTGACAAAATAGATTTCTGTTGTTTAAGTCACCCAGTCGGTGGTTCTTGGTTATGGCAACCTGAGCTGCCTTATGTTTTACAAACCTAAAATGGTGTGTGTTAGCCTGGATAGAGCTAGTTGTTTATTAATTCCTGGCTACAAATTATTATTTCCTTATAAAATCAGTTGAGAAGGCTGCAAATTATTATTCACTTATAAAATCAGTTGAGAAGGCTGCAAATTATTATTCACTTATAAAATCAGTTGTAGAATGAGGTTTCCACCTCATTCTACAGCAACCTGTCAAATAGTTTCCATATTTATCTGGCTGGGGCAAGAGGGCAGGGCACTGCTCACTAGATTGCTGAAGAGTATTTATCAATTTGGCAGATGAATGCAGTCTTTGTCCACCCTCCCGTACACTTGTTCTAGGACACAAAGGCACTGTTCTACGACTGGTGATAGAGAAAGGTACACAATAGACAAAATCCATGCCATCATCAGCTTATATTCTAGTAGGGAGAAACAGACCAAAAGGAAACACCGAATAGAAGTGCTCGCTCACTCTGGCATTCTGCATTCTTCTTACTCTGCTTTATTTTCCTTCAGTGCTCTTAACACCACCACACGTATTTGTCTGTCTCCTTCCACTTGAATGTAAGCTCCATGAAAGCAAGGAGTTGTGTCATTCACTTCTGTAGTCCCAATACCAAGTGCCCTCAACAAAAAATTTGGCACATAGTTGATTCTTAATAAAAATTTGTTGAATGAATGAATGATTGCACAGTTTCAGATGGAGACCCGGATTTATCCAGGATTATATGAACTTAACGAAATCATGGGAGTAAAAATACCCAGTAAAATTAATGGCTGGAAACTGATCTTTAATAAAGGACGTCAGTAGGTTTGCTGGGAAAAATTCAGCGCTCCTTCCTCAGAAGGAAAGGACTTAGCTGTTTGACAGACATTTTGCTAAGCTTTTACATAAATGTTTTTCTTCTATTTTATGAAATCCCGAGTACATATGATTAAACTGGAGCTAAGGTTAAGCAACTTGCCTTAATTCATTAGCAAGTGGTGGAAATGTCGTTGAAATGTATGCCTTTTTAACTCATAAGCCAGTACTCTTTCACTATATTACACTGCACCTCTGGTTGCTCATACTATTGAAAATGTTAAATGATGTAGAAATAAGCAAACATTTCTTGAATTTATTAGTTCCTTTAAGGACACAAGAATGAAAGAAACGTGATTTAAGGGCTTGTCTCAGGCCACCTTCTTCTGCTCTGTCTCAAGCTTACATGCCACCACCAGCCACCACAGTTGCTATTGTGATAAAGTGAAGTAGCTACCACAAATTGGTATTCTCCTCCATATTGACGTCCAGTTTTGCCAACATCATTTATTAAATATAATTCTAGTCTCCATTGTTGTGTTACTACTGACTTGTTATATAAGATGTACTTGAACTCGTTCAGTTTCTTCACCTGTGAAAGTAAGACTGCTAACAGTACTTACCCCATAGGGATAATGGGGATAAACTTAGAACTAGTACAAAGTAATCGCTTAATGGATGCTATCTAGTTTACTTAAGTTTCTCTGTTCTTTGCAATGCTACTTAACTAAGTTTGCTTTAAATCCAGTTGCAAACCATTGTGTAAGCATTGCCATATCATATGCTTTTAAAGCTGATGAAAATATCATTGCCATTTGGACATTTTACTTTTCCGATATATTACAATGTGTTCAGGAAACCCAAGGCCAAGTTTTAAGTCCCAGGACCTCATCTTAGGTCTTAACGTCCTTAGGAAGGGCGTTAGTCAGCTTTCTCCTCCTTAAAGCTTCCACTACTCACTGTATTCTGAAGACTATTTTCCTCCTTGAGAGGCACACGAGTGGTTTCCTTGTTGCCTTCAAAGTCAAGATCCTGCCTTTCTTAGTACCCCCAGAAAATAAGCACCCTAATTTTAAATATTAAGCAAATAAAACCAGATAATCACATTGGGAAGCAGACAGAAAGCTGGAAAAATAAAATATGGAAGAATGAAAAAACGTTTTAAAAATATTCCTCCATCTCTATTAAATGGCTACTAGAAGACCAATCACACCGTTTTTGTTCTCCTAACCTCCTTTAGTTAAGGGAAGGGAAATATCTTTAAGGAAGCTCAGATATGATGCAACCAAGTAAAAAAACAGCACACCAAATACAGTCATATCACTTAATGACTGAGATACATTCTGAGAAGTGCATTGTCGAGCGATTTCATCCTTGTGCGATCATAGAGTGTACTTACACACACCTAGATGGTCTAGCCTGCTACACACCTAGGCTATATGGTACTAATTTTATGGGACCAGCCTCGTATATGTGGTCCATCGTTGACCGAAACGTCCTTATGCAGCACGTGACTGTACACGTCACCTATGAAGTATTCTTGCCACAATAGTTTAATCTCCATCTAACCAAGCGTTTGGACTTAGCATTCAGTTTATAGCAAATAGAAGGTGTGGTGGGCAGATTCTAAGAGAGCTCCCAATGATCCTTCTTCCTGGTATTCACAGCCTTGTGTAATGCACTCTCCTTGAGTATTTTGCTTCCAACCAATAGAATACCTTGATGTTGTGGGGATGTCATGTCTGTGATTAGGATATTCTCACTTTGGTCCTGCTAGCAGACTTTCCCTTGCTGGCTTTGATGAAGCAACTTGCCATGAAGGAGAGGCCCACAGGGCAAGAAACTGAGGGCAGCCTCTGTTTCCTCCAACAGCCAGCTAGAAACTGAGGTCCTCAATCCAACAACCTGAAAAGAAGGGAACACTA